CAGTTGCTGATATTTTCTCCTCTATGAACAGCATTTCCCCATAAGCAAAGAAGGGGGAAATTTCAAGATTTCCATGTGGACTACCTCCTGGAAATGATCTAGTGTTTGTCCAGAAAAGAGGAAGGGTAACAGCATGAATGAGGGGGGCCCGGACTCCTAATCACATGGAACCTGATGATCGGCAAGAAATTGAAGGCCTGACATCTGCAATTTCTGGGACAGTTGCAACATGTTTGTCACTCTGAAACATTCTCCTCATTCAGTGGTCTTGAAACTATGGGTCACGACCCACTACTGGGATCATAGAATGTCAGGCACTGGGTCTCCTTGCTGCAGGGAGATCAGGTGACCAGTAGATGTGCTAAGGCAGGCTACCTGCCTACACTGACACCGCAGACTGTACTAGGCCACAGAAGCAGCCAGAAACAGGCCTGGCTCTGGGGGAGGGGAGAAAGAGAGCGCACACAGCTTCATTCACTGCCCCTGCCCTGAGCAGTAGCTCCGCAATGCTACTGGCTGTGAACCTGCTACTGGCTGCTTCTGGGGCACAGCATGGTCAGCGATGCCAGGAGAGACAAGAAGCCTGCCTTAGCACCCCCGCTGCTCAAGGTAAGCCCCTCCTGCCCCAGCACTGACATGCCCCGAAAGCCAGAGCCCTGTCCTAACTCCAAAGCTCTCATCCTCAGCCCCACCTTGAAGCCCACACTAGTCAAATTATTTTGGATCGCAGGCATCAACAATTTTCTTCAACTGGGTCATGAGAAGAAAAGCTTGAAAACCACTGTCCTAGTTCTCAGGCATCACAGTCAGCTCCCCGCTTAGTCTCTGATCAGTGCATGTGACACATAAGCATGTATGAAGTAGAAGAAACTACAAATTGGAAGATCTCTGCGGCAAATTATGCTAACTTGTGAGTAAAGCCTACCAACTAGCACTACTGCTGAGTGGTTCAAAACTTACCCCACCACAATCCCAGTTCCCCAGAGGGCTCTGAGCACATGATGTTTGCACACAAGCAGTCTCTGCCTGTGCAATGCTCTGTTGCTCAGCTCTCCTTTCTAACAGTGAGGGCTCAGTTGAGTGCACTTACCTTGCTCTTTCTCTCCTCTGCACCACAAGATAAAGAGATACAGGTTTTAATGTAGCTTCATTGCTGTCATTAGCATAATGCGTGCAGCATAAACATCAGGCATTGTTAAGCAGAGACAACAATGCTAATTCAGAAAGCAAGCAAGTTAGACTTCCATGCTAATAAGATTGAAAATACAGAAGCTACAGATAGTGCTATAAAAGCACTGTTTTATTGTAGATAACATAACATGCACTCTGCCTGATGTATGGATTATATGGGCAATGCATATGTGTATGTATAATTAAACTAAAATGTATAAAATGTCACTTTAATGCAGACTTTCAACAGATATATTTCTCACAAAGACCAATGTATTGTTGTAAATACTGTGATTTACTTTTCAGTGGACATTGTAAATGGGTTTTTTGTTGTTGGTTGTTGCCTCAGAACAGCTACTGCTTTTTCTCTATGTACACATCACTACATCATTCTTGTCTTTCAGCTGCTCCACGGGCTTCATTTTTACTTCAGGAACTAATAAACATTCCAGTCTTAGTTTTTTAACCTTTCATGAACTCACTCTTGCTGACCTCTAACAGAGTTTCTGTTTCTGCTTTCATTCCTCCTCTCTCCTCTCGTGTGTCACTTTCAGCCATCTCACCAGAGTTACTAAACAAAGCCACCTCCTTTGCAGCTTCCCCTAAATGAAACAGCTTTTCTGTAACTGCTTCCGGGGCATCTCTAGTCTCCCTCTAGTCAGCTCCCCAGGTCCCAGGTTCAAATCCACCTTGGTGGTGGTTACACATGCAGAGTCAGAATAGGAATAGGAAGAGGAGATGTTGAGCCCTAAGACCCCCCAGGGAAGGCATTGCTTCCCCTTGCTCAGGTCTTTAGGCTTTTTTGCTGGTGGCCATCTTGTTTTCTTGGTCAAGCCAGAAGGGAGCTTCCCTGCTGGACCCAGTTGCTGAGTGTGTCATAGGGTTGCCAGGTGTCCGGTATTTTTGCCTCCTGGCAGGGGAAAAAAACAGAAAATACTGGACATTTACCAAACAGGAGGCGAAAATCCCGGACTGTCCAGGTCAATATCAAACACCTGGCAACCCTAAGCCTGCTCCTGCAGCCCAAACTCCTCATTCCTAGACCCACCCCAGAGTCTGCACCCCCAGCTGGAGCCCCCGACCCTCCCACATCCCACCTCCTTGCCTCCCCCCGATAACTATTAGCATGTGAATGCAGGTGGAAGAGAGTGAATGATGGGGGTGGGAATGGAGTGAGTGGAATGGCAGGGCCTCAGAAAAAGGGCAGGACAGAGTCTGGGCCTGAGAGATCGGGCAGAGCAAGGGTATTTGGTTTTGTGTGATTAGAAAGCAAGCAACCCTACAAGCAGGAGAACCACTTTATCATCAGATCAAGTTACAGACAGAGGCTCAGACATTGCACTGTGATAGTCTCATTAAAGCATGACATTGGCATGCATTAATGCAGTGTCACAATGCAAATATCAGAGCACATCAGTATGTGATGATCAATATGAGATTATTTTGTTGGCTCCCTGACTTCATTCAACAAAAAATCTGCTGCTAGGTTGCTGAAGAGGAAAATTATGTTTCTTATTTCTCTCCTCTCCTCCTTCTCCACAGATGCTTACTAGAAAGTTGTTTCTCTTTCTTCTTTCCTTTAAGGCTACTTGAAGGGCATGGCTAGTGATCCTACCAAACCCGTCCTGTTTGCTTACTGTCCCACAAATTGACTCACACCAAGAAGCATGGGACACACTCTTGTGAATAGTTCTTTGCTGGCTCTGTCTGAGATGAAGTATAGTGTAAAGAACACATGACAAAATCCTTGCCTACATCCAATCGGCATGTAGCACTTCCAAAGTGCATACATTGCTAGACTATGAGTGTGTCTTAGTTTTGATTTATCCTGGGTCTGCATTCCTAGTTTGATATTGTCCTTATGTGTTTTAATATGATGGTCTGTAATAATGCCTGTTATCTTTGTTTAGGTTATACTGTCTATAGAAGAAGGTTACAGGCTTCCAGCTCCCATGGGCTGCCCAGCTTCTCTCCACCAACTTATGCTTCACTGCTGGCAAAAAGAGAGAAACCACCGGCCGAAGTTTACAGACATCGTCAGCTTTCTAGACAAATTGATCCGCAATCCCAGCTCCCTTCATACCCTAGTGGAGGATGTACTAGTGTAAGACTTGCTTTAGTGCTCTTTCCTCATACAGTCATGACTGCCACAATGGATTTTGTAGGGAAGGGATATCCTGACACATCTCCGAGCTCAGTTAGCTTTTAAGTGTTGGGTGTTTAAAATCATGCTGAGCCTCTTCTAAAGTGGATTTTATTATCAAATGAAACTGGTGATATTGCAAACAAAAAGATTTTTTCCCCAAGCACATTCATAGCCGGTTTTCTTTTTTGGTCCAGTATTTTCATCTATCTCTTTTGTTTTTTCTCTGTCAGTCTTTGATCTCCATGAGTCTCTGTTTTTCCACCTTTTGTTTGGTGTTTGTCCTATACTATTGTTTTCTAAATTCCCTCTATAATTTTCTTCTCTCTTCATTGCTCTATCTCTTCATTTGAAATAGCAGACCGTGCATGAACAGTTGGTAAATTGCCTTATAGTATTTTCCTTCTGAATCTATTTATACTCCTGTAAAGGTTCTATCGGGGCGCCCACTGGCACCCCGTACTCTCTGCCTGAGTCTTGTGCTTCTCCCACCCAGAGGTTCACCGTCTGGTGACCCCAGTCAACTATCTTCTTGGCCCAGGGGGCCCCTTTAACACCAGGGATCTCCGGGCTTCCTGTAGCAGGGAGAGGGGGGTCCGGGCCCGCCCCCTCTCACGGACCCCAGCCCAGGGCCCTAAGGACTCGGTACGCTTACGGCATCCGGTCCGGCTGGCGGGGCGTCTGCCGTAACGCGCCAGCCCTCAGGCTCCCTTCGCCTGCCCTGGGCTGCTTCCTCTCCCTGTTGCGCTGTCTCGCCGATGCGGGGGCTTACCTCCGCAGTTTGGGTCCACCTCTTCCTCAGGCAGTCATGTCCGGCCTTTTAAATCCTCGCCCCGCTTGTGGGCGGGGGGTGGGGGCTCCGCCCCCTGTACGCAGCTCTACTTCCGGCGGAGCGGCGCACCTGCCCTCTGGTGC